TAATGCAAGCAATAGCAGTAGTGAAACTATACATATTATTACGATTATTGATAGTATTGCCAGATATTACTACAACTGATATTAATAGTAATTAAAAGAACCAGAATTAACATCTATTTAGTTTCAGTCATATTCCATCAAATATAGCAAGAGCGGTATGGTATAAATATTACTTAATTTCGAATCCTCTATCAAGGGTTAGGAATCCGCAGTACTCGTCTCAATATCCTAGCCGTTCTTAGCAGGGTCGCTTTCTGCAGTTCATTAACCTTAATCATTTAATCAATTGACCTTCATAGGCACTGATAGTCGTTTTTCACTGCTCCGAGGGCCTTGATCACCATTTGAATGAATTCATCTTTATTCTCCAGATCATTCACATTTCCATCCTCAATTATTTACATTTCAAAAATTTGTACTCTCCCCTTAACACATCGTTAACGACAGCTGTGCAATGAGTTATGCCCGTCTTTCTGCCCTTTAACAAACACGAAAGCTGAATGATGAACCGACATTTCTTTCTCCATCGCAGACTCCCACGGTGTTTTTACTCGCTCAGTCTCCTCAGTCCCTCTTGGCTGATGTTTCCGCCACTGCACTGCCACCAGTACGCTGATTCGCTTGCACAAATACCAATGGACTGGCCTTGCAACGTCAATGCGCCTTTCTCTGTATTCTTGATTCGTGAGCATTCTGCAGCAGGACATTATATGGGTCATGGTCTCAACCTTCATTTCACAGATTCTGATCTTTGATCCTGACTGCGTATGCAGGATCTTGGATTCGCATCGGTTCATGTTGACTGCTTGGTCTTGAGCAGCTAGTAGAAGGGCTTCCGTTTCGCCATGGAGTCCACTTCCCCATAGCCGTTTGAAAGTTGGTGGAATTCTGCCTTCAATGAATTAGCAAAGATACTGTCTAAGAAATTCGCTGTTCTTCCAATCACTGAATCGAATGTTCTCAACATTTTTCTGCTTTTTCAGCTGTTTGCTATTCTACCGCTAACTGTTATACCCTCAGCACTCTATTCTTCGTTACTGTAGATAGACATGGCCTTAAGAATGTTGTACTAATTCCAGCGTATCCTTGATACTAGAGCTATAGTTATTAATACTATAGACCAGTATAGGAAAATTAGTACAAGACTGGGAGTAATGGTAGTTCTTCTAATGTTGCTACTTTACTCCTACTGCTGCTTGTGTCAGTACGAATAACATCTAGCAGTGCTAGCAGTAATTGCAGTAGGGTCGAGAATCTCACTAGTGTTAGCATTATTCGTAATAAAGCAGGCATTATTAGATATCTCCCGTAGTGACAGGAGTAGTAGTAATAATATATCAGTGGTATTGTACTAATGGAGTAATGGTAATAACAGGTTTACTACTATTATTTACTACTGCAAATAATAGCTCGTCATACTTGCTATAATATGAGTAATACCAATGGGCTCATTACTCCTACAACTTGTAGGTAGTACAACTAGAAACAGTAATGAGGCGATCGGAATATTACTCCTACCACAAAAAGTACCCTGCCGGATATAGCACCTACTGATACCAGTAACAGTGATAGCAACAGCAGTATCAGTAATACTGCTGCGATGACGCAAATAGATTTGCTAGTGTTACTCCAGTGCCACCTAGGTGCTTGTGCTAGTAACAGTGGCATCGGTATTATTACTACTACTACTTGTACTACTATCTGTATAAGTACCGTTTTATATTATTTGCAATAACAAGAGCAATAAAAATAGTTGTACTATTAGTATTACAACCGATTCTACCGTTACTGTAAATAATAAACGTATTAGCATTCATACCAGATATACTGTTAGTGTTATTGCAGTTAATGTCTGACAGTAAACCTTTACTTCAAACGAACATTACAACAAATATTGCTACTATTACTTGTAATAACATTATTCGTAGTTACTATCTCTAGTAGTGATAATACATGAAAACTATATATTAGTTTGTTACTATTCCAGAATTCCTGGTGTACATATAGTTCTTGTTGCCGATTAGTAGCGCAAACGGCACATTTTTATACTGGTGTTTTAGTTGTTGCAACAGTGCAGCAGCAGTGGTGAGTACACTCTTGTGATGGTACATGTGATCTATGCTTGTGATGGTACATGTTACTGTCGCCACTACTGATGTGTTGGTACTATCTTCATTACTATCATTTTTACATCCATAAAACGGGTAGTTGGAGGGGTGGCATATGTCAGCAACATCATAGATCTACTAACAGATGAGACATTAAGTGTCCTTATGCGATCATGCTAAAGTTTTTCAAGCCTAGGGTCACGACGCACTACGCACTGATTCACGTGAAACTTGACATTTTACTATCATAAGGTGAAACGACTATATTTTAATTTCATATCATCCTGAACACTTAAGATGAGTCAGTTCTTTCAGGGTCGGATTTTCGTTCTTCCTGTTGCTGTCTTCGATGCCTTTACTGATGCTCGCCAATGTATTCCTCCTTCTGCTAAATTTTGGACCTGCAATTCGCCTAAAACTTATCCGGTACTTTGCGGAAAACAGAAGCGTCGCTTGAAACAGTTAAAAATGTGAAAAAATTATGAATGTTCGCAATAAACTGTATGGCTATTAAGTTTTAAAATTTTGCAACCTCATTTGTCACTCACATGCCGCGCTGGTATTGACGTCTGATTTTTGTCGTCGTTCATTAAATGCAAGCACAGTAAAATGGCGTCTTAAATTTTCATATGAAACAGAAAATTGTACATTTCTAAACATTAATATTAGGGAAAATAATCTACAATTACATTCTGCGGGCACTGTGACAATTCAATGGAAAAATCTCTTGATGCTGTTGTTTCCGAATGAACGAACGCATGAATGAAGAAAAGCTTATTAATCGATGAATATAGAATACTTAATTCATGTTTTTATGCTAGACAGCAGATATATGCGTTATGAATTCTCTGATTTCAAATAATTTAAAGTTGCCTATTTCTGAGATTACAATGACTATTTACATAGAGATTATAGTTCTTAATCGCCAAGGCCTTGAAGTCCTACTCATACAAGTTTTATTTCATATAATTCGGACGTTTCGAACTGCCCATGATCTACTTTCAGAGGATACTAAAATCATCAACTGTTCATGAGTCCGAGTGCTTCAAATAACCTATGACTGTTTGAACACCACATTTCGTGGCGTATAGCAGAGCTCCGTTGCTTTCAATTGTCAGACGGACACGGATTTATAGTATTTGAGCTTCTACACTGCCAGACGCGTCTCGCATGATTTCATCTGCCACAGCAACCTAACACCCATCACCAACGATATTTTTGAAACATTACTCTTCTTATGACACCGTATAAACCTCATAACTTGTTGTTCGCAAGACCAAGCATGTCAATAACAAATGACTACGTCTGCGTTGAATCAGGCTCCCTTCCAGAATACGCTATTGGTCACATTTGGATTTATTTCAATTGAGTCAGAAGTATTTTCCCTCATGTCCTATATCAATCTCAGAATGACTTTTCACGGTATGCAGAGCTCGAATCTATCAAAACCCACGAGCACACGAACCGACGCTTCTCTCCAAATATGTTATTGTGAGCATTTAACCGTCTCTGAGTTACACATTATTTAACAAGGG